AAGATTGCCGTTACTGCCTGGATATCCGGCGTGAAGATGCGATGTTATTGATGTTACCTTGGTGCTGTTACACGTCGGACGTAAAAAGAGCCAAAATTTGATTTCAAAATGCATACTTCCAGTGGACGATGGATAAAGAGAGCGCGAATTTTAGGTGAGTGTGCAACTCGATGAGTCCCATGAAATGTGTGCCCGGCTTATGGGTGCTTATTTCTTGACGTCCTATGTTATCAGTACTCATGCGCTGCACTGGAAGGAACCGACATACCGCCTTGTCGCTGTTGATTCTCGATCTGTGGTATGTCGTTAGTCGAAAATTCTTGTTCAAAATGTGCTTGCTTTTATTTGCAACTCATTTTCAAGTTCTAATTAGTAGAATCTCATCGTGTCTGGCTCTTCCCAATAATCGTTTTTTTCATAGCTGGAGGCGGACGAAGGAAAAAGCCTTCTCCTGAAAAATTTGATCAGCTTGCCCAATTGCTGACATTTTAATACTTATACTTGAAAAAAAGGCTTTTTTACAGTTTCATACCTTTATACCATCATTTCATTAGCTGGCGAGTTGGCTGTGGCAAGGACATGCTCCACGGAAATCTGAGTTTGCCATCCCTGTCCGTTGTGGAGCTTCAGAGTAGTTCATGATGAGCAGTTTTTGATACCAGTATCTTATCATAGCCCAGCTTGGGCATCTTGAACCTTTGTGTGTGTTTCTAATAAAGTGTACGTGTTGTTATTCGACTTTCGAGTTGAACTTGGAAAGTACAATTTCACTAGTGGAATTGAATCGTCGTCCGTTTCTGTCAGAAGTTATTTTTTGACATCAAACTGTCAAAATACATCAGTCGGCTTCCTGTTGGGAAGGAAAGGAATGCCGCTGCAAGACTTCCTCCCGAAATTCAGCAAATGTTCCAAATGAGCACACTGATTTTTCGCGTATTGATGTCTTAACAGTAAAAGTTTATCAGTGACATCACCGTTATAAATGCTGAAATAATACAATCCCCAAAATTGAGATCCTCCCTATATCACAATCCAGTGGCATAGTTTTGAACGAAACAGACTTAATGGAAATCAGTTTTTATTCCGTTTTGCTGTAATTTCAGATCTGTACGACAATCCTAATCGCCCAAGTTTGGTCGCAGTACGCTTATTCGGAGCACTGGAACGGCTCACATTGGGTTGGCATACTGCTTTTCTCATCCTGGACAGTAATCTCAATCCTTTATCGCATCCATCTAACGCTGCAAATGCGACAGAATTTAGAAACAAAGTTGCGATAACACATTCATTACATTGTGCGATTGCTTATCGATAATGAGCCGTAATATGTGACAAGTAAATTAATGTTTGCTTTTTTCAGAAATTACCAAAATTATTCAAATAAAAGAAAAATGGCAAAAAATCTGACCATGGCGAATACGAGTTCGAATTCTAGCAAAAAAAGAAAGAACCATTAGCAAACCATAAATTTGAAAATTTTATACGAAAATTGCTTTCAGACTGCCAAAATCGCAAAGTCCGCCTGAACAGTCTGGTTAGGGAACACATGGCTGCAGCTATGTCAGCCTTTCATTTCTTCATGAAATTTAAATGACAGCAAATCTATCAAGTATTATGAAAGACAGCGGGTACCACTTTGGATAAAGGATACCTTTTTGACAGCAGCACATTTTCTGCCTCAAATTTGATAGAGGAGGATTAGTCAGTCATGAATCTGCCAAAATTATCCTCTAGGAAAGAGGGGGTACACTTCAAGAAGGATTTAGATTGCCGCCAGAGACAACTCGGAACGTATGCATAGCTAGTGGAAACAATGGAAGTTGAAAGCGGGGTGAGAACAAAACAGTCCTGTCCTTTTCCTGATCGCGTTGGAATTTTTTCCTTCTCAAAATTTATTTAAAATTCATCAGCGTTTGAACAACTTCATATCATTTATTGGGAAAAAAATTTGTTAATATGCTGTTTCAAAAATAATCATTAGTAATTTTTGCTCATCAAATAATTTCCACACACACTGCTGGGTTCCCTAATACTCCTCTGGTTCCGTACTGCTCCTCTAACAGCACAGTCACTTTAAAATGTTTTGGCTTCGATAGTTTCTGTATGTTTTGCATATGCAAATTATCATATGTCTTTTGTGTTTATTCTACCTGGATTATCCAGTGCGGTGAAATATAGGGTCGCACTTACCGCGACCCAAAAACTTGAAATTGGCTTTTATCAACCTTAAAATTAGCTCTGGACAGGAGCCTAAAAATCAACCCCCAGCCTTACTGTTTATTTACACTTGGTCTCAGGCTCATATTCGTTCTAATATAGTATTATCACGACAAATTATTTGTAAAGATGCATGAATGCATTGCTCTTCTGTTGCTTATCTGAAAATATTGCACGTAATTGACGGTGATTTTTATCATACTACAGCGTCTTAATTCCGTTACAGAAATGCATCAAGCCTTTTTGATCTTACGTATCTTTGTATATGATATGTAATTTAATCATTCGTGAAGAAGTATCTGTTCAGCTGTTAAATGAACTGCTTCAATAAAGACTGAATTTTGCTTTGAAAAAATTGTTGTTTCGCTGAAAGTTAACAGCAGTATTATTACAAATTCACCATCTTTTGAAAATTCGATTCGTTAAGTAATGTGCGTTGAATACACAAATCAAATAAAATAAAAATAAATAATAAAAGTCATAAATCAAAGGGATCAAACATCGAAATAAACAAAATAGAGCTCATACGTACATGCGCATGAAGAAGCA